ACAATATTATTTTTTTCTATACTGTATTTACAGGTTTCTATCCTAAGTTTGTTATCACAAACTGATATCAAAGTAATGTATATTGTTATTGTTATTATGTTTATTATTATTATTTTATAATTTTATTATTATAGTATGATAATAATCAAACTTATTCAATTTTTGGTATTATTTTAATACTTGCTCTAAGCTCGTTTACTCTTAGAAAGTACAAATAAAATTAAATTTTCTTTAAGTTTATAATTTCCTATCAATCTTATTTTAGTTGATTATTGTCTGTGTGTATACCTGCTTTTTATAATAAATATAATATCAATTATATCTCCAAAGTATTACATACTATTTATGATAAATATAGATATAAAGTTATGTGTTAATTCATACTCAATGAACGTACATACATGCATAAATTACTAAATACTGAAAACATTTCTTAGCAATAATTTAGCTGCGAAATTAGATCTCAGATGCTTTTCCTCGTAACTAATATGAATATTAATTGAATATTTATAAAACAAATGAATGAAATTTTATAGGATATTGTTATGTGTATTGAATTCATAAATATCTCTTTATGTTTTATGGAATACAATATTTCAATATTGTCGCCACATATTTTTATATTACGCTATTTTTATCGTTATATTTAATATAATCATCACGTAATGTTCTAATTCAATTAAACAAGTTATAAAATTCAATAGATTTTGTGTCACATATACTGTGGTGTGTGCCATACTTTGTAATTTTGAAGTTGCCATGTGATTTATTTGGCATTGTTCAGTATTCTGTAACTAAATATAAATATGTAGTAATTATATATCTTGTAGTTTTTAAAACAAATAAACGGTAAAATAATAATAAACTAATAGCCTTATTAAATTTCATCAGTTTATTCTTTTCACAGCCAAATTATATTAATTGATCAATATTAGACATCATTTATCGAAGTAGTGCTTGGCCAATGCGTTTTAATCTACAATCAGTAATAAAATAAATAAGAAAAGAAAGAACACAATTAACCATAATAGTATAACCATTAATAAACTTTTCTTAATTTAATATTTGAATTTATATACCTATTTTAATTTCTTTATTGCAACTTGAAGATTCATCATTATCTGATGCATCAGAGGAATCAATCGATATTATGTTCTTTCCATTATCAGAATTTAGATCAAAAATCATCTTATTTTTGCATAAGTTTTCAGAACACCAGTAATAAACAGTCTACATAGACAATTAAAAATAATTTAAATTCACATTTCGAGTTTTAACATTATGTTATAGGTTAGTATAATAATTCATTATTTACCCATATAATTCCAATAATCCAAAATACAGAAAAATATAAAGATAGTGTCATTACTAAATGGTTTAAGTAAAGAAAAATTGATGGAAAGGAACAAATTTCATAATTTTGATGTTTTAAAAATGATGTTTATGTCTGTTTTAAATCAGATCTAATTAATATCTTCATATGTTTCTTCTTTTCTTTTTTTCTTTTAACAAAATTTACAGGGTGAAAAGTTTGACTACACAGAAGAAAATGTAAGAAGAAAAGAGAGAAAGAAACATTTATAGAAATTTATGTATATTTTTATAATATAAGAACAAATGCTTTATGTATTGTCAATTTCTTCTGTTTCTACTATGTCCATTTGTTCTTCTATATTTTCTTTAACATCATCCTGAGATATAAGTTGTTTATATCCACGTTTCTTGGAAAATACACCTAAAGGTATTAATTTAAAAGTAGCCAATGGTCTATTCAGATATTTCTGTAAAAAGATACAAACTATTATATCACTGTATTTAATATATGTCCAACGTTATATGAAACAGCATATTTACCAAAATTCTTGCTTGTTCTGGAGTCAACATTTGACCCTCTTTACACACAGTGTATTCTTTGATCAACATTACCACACCTTTCTGTAAAATTGTAGGCATTCCTAATTGTCTTAAATGAGGTTCTATACTGTGTGAAAACTCGGTTGGTCCTTCGCTTAACACTATGGTTTGTTGCACAATAAAGCCAGATCTAGCATAATCTATTTCTCCATATTGATTCATCCAGTTCAAAACCTTGACAAGATGCGAACAGATGCGAATTTTTGTACATGTTTGCAATCAGTGTGTATTTTAAGTATTTAATTATAACAAAGAAGTACATACTTCTTTTTTCTTCCTGTTTGTAAATAACAAACCGCATTGTCCTTTCAACGCTAATGATAATTTATGGAGATCATTTGCTACTTCGGTTTCCGGTGATCTGCCCAAAGCCAACGCAATCACCTTATTTTTACCAAAGAAGAGCCGGCTGTCTTTCCATTCCGATCGTATGTTTTTAAGTTTCTCATTACGCATATTCTGCACGGATAAAAGAAATATCGTAGCATATTTCTCAACACAATTTCTAACATCTTCCACAATTTGTTGCTTCAGAACAAGACCTTTTTTGGCTGTTTTCGTGAGAGATACTGTGAAACACAAGTTTATCGATTAAGATTATCATTGGGACACATGGGGCATTTATAGGTTAGTCTACAGAAATTATGCATTTACAACGAAACGATAAATAAAGAAACACAATGTAACGTTACTTTTCTTATCTCTTTTCGACTTGGGCATTTTTTTTCAAGGCAGTTTTAAAGATTACATCGAAGATTATAAATCTACGGAGCGCTTGTTCTTATAACAGTGTACTATGGTAAATTTGTTACATACTTTAAGAAAAATGGCGCATAAATTTGTCTGACGTAAATACCAGAGTTTCCAACATTATTTAAACTTTAAACATAGAACATTTCAAGTAAAGAAAAAAAAGCTGTATAACTCTTAAATTAAAAAATAGAAATAAAATCTAAATACAAATTACTTTTGGTTAGTTACGAAATGTAATTAAAATTTTGCATGGTTACGTCTGTACGTGTTGTCATGGGATTCTAAAGAAAACATGAGCAGTAAAAGCGAAGATATTTGAAAAGAAATATGGAGTAGCTGATTTATTGAATTGAACACAAGAACAAAAATAAATAGTTCGCCGACTACGAAATTGAGAAGAGGCGGGAACGGCGAACAAGTGTTTTTTGAACGAACGGAAAGCGTCAAGTGAACGCAGTTCAAGATGGCGGCTTCCGCTCGTTGCGCCAGTGCACTCTGTGAGATCGTAGTGGACGGGAGCCGTTGAATACGCCGAAGCCTCGATTTTCTAGGCCGTTTGTTAACATTCTAAAGGTGAGTCTCTTTTCAAACATAATCAGACGCTTGTGTACAAGCGAGGCAAAGGTTATTGCACGCAGTGTCTTTTAAAATATCGGCCGTGAATAATACGAAGTGTAATTGAACATGGATCGTGTGAACCCCGTAGCCATGCAGCCGTCTCTGATCTTTTTTCGCCTCGAATTGTTCAAAATAACCTAGAACTTGCCCGCTTTGTTACGTTTTTACAATAGAGATCGTTTGTTTCGGCTCATTCTCGTTCGATATACGTCATCCTGCCGGTCGTTTATCGAACGGGATAATCATTCCAGTAAAGTTCGTTAGGTTGCGGTATGATAGAAGACGGTCTGAAGATAGTCGCTTACCGTTCACAGCGGATGCGACGCATGCGACGCGACAGCCTTAACGAATAAGATAATTGCCGCCATCTTAGTTACACACGGTCGGCGATGAAATTACAAATTTCATGCCTGAAAAGAATCGGCGGGTGAAAAAAAAAAAGTATCAGTTTCGATTCTGTTTCCTGTAGCTACGCGACTGATTAACCTGTTGAAGGTCGATCGAATATAGAAATTTTTTGCGATAATCAATCGTACAAGTGTCGTATCGATGATATAACTGATATATATATATTTTGTTTTTTTTTTTTTTGCAATACTCGATCCCTTATATGGTTGAGAGAAATGGGGAATACACATCGAAAAGTAGATTTCGCTTCGTCCTTTCACGCACGGTATCTGGCCTGCTTACGCTCGAAGTCGCGTTAAAGCACGATACGCGTTTCCCATCTTCGTACAGGCGTACATGTACGCGTTGTGTCGAGCACACGCCCTTTGACAGGTGAACCGATTAGCATGCTTTCGATATTGCCTCGATACATCTTGCCTGATAAACACCTCTGTCCGTGTGTGTGTGTATGTGTGTATGTGTATAGATGCATCAACAGTAGCATTCGATTTTAGATTCCGTTTATTTGTCCCCGCGTATACGTTCATTTCAAGTGTTTTACTGTTGAACAACATAATACACCCACGCTATTCACAGTGATATTCTTTCTTAAAATGGTACATAGTAGGATTTTATGAAACATTTTCGCGAGAAAACTGAACGCGACAACACTTGGTATTTGGCTTTCTTTTCCCAATTCATTTTCAATTCTTTTGCCGACATTATTAATCATTGATTACATACGAGTAAGTATCGATTTCACGTTCATTGCTCGTGTAATGATCTGATAGCGAGAGTAACGTTAGTCGGCGATATTAGTACTAGATAGAGATACATATGTATTTGTTCATGGTGGGAGGCCATGAACTTTTTTCTCGCATCCTTGTCCAACTCTTTCTCGATTATCGAATTGAGATAGGTTGTTTCTTTCGCCAGAATCGACGACGACAGTAATGACGACGATGATTGCCTATTCGCTCGTTCATCATAGGCTTTTCCATCAGTGTAAATTTACTTCAACTCCTTGCCTTACAATTTTCTTAAAAAAGCGTTATTTATTCTAAAATGAATTATTTATAAAATATTTACTTATTATGGAAATAATAAGGTATATTATATGTAATTATTTATTGTAAAATAATTATTTTAAACATGAAACGTTTATAATTTATACATTGTTAATGTTCAACTTCGAGAAATTAAGTTAGGCTTGGAATTGCAGTTTGCTTTTTTTTTTTTTTT